ATCAAATGGAAATCCTATTGCTTAGTTCTTAGAATTAGTGAAAGCGAAGACTATATTTTTGAAACTGAATTTTGTTGTCTAAATAGCCAAAATAAGGAAATTCATGCTAATTTCCTTTATGCAATATAACACTTACGCCTAGTTAAATGTGACGATAGAATCTTAAAATTCATGGATCACTATTCCAAACATAAATGAATTTTTATAATTAAATTACTTATCGAAGACCTGGATTATTCTAGTATGTTTTTTAAGACTGTGAACTCTATCGTCATGTAAATATGTTACGGGCGATTTCGAGAGCACAGATCAACCGAATTGTATGATTCAAAAAAAATCGATTTCTACTAATGGGGAGATGCGCTGATTAGTTTTTGGCAAAAGCAGGTCCAGCCGTTTAGAAGATATGCCGCAAAAGGTGCCAAAAATGGTAATTCAGTTTTTGAGAGAACGGAGCGTCCGATTTGAATGATTCAAAAAACATCTTACTTGAACGAAATAAACAACTAATAAAGTTCTTGAGGATAGATCCAGTGGTTTCAAAAATCCAATGAAAAACGTAAAAAAAATACCATTTGGCGGTTAAAAAAGATTATTAGACGTATGCGTATCAATTTAGCAAATCCTTTTTAGAGATTTTAATAATAAGTAGAAATTTTGTTTACATTTTTATGGGTTCGGTATAAGGATTCATAATGTTTGCATTAGACTGCGACGCGGTGCTTCGTTATTTCGTTTCTCAAATAGCTACGCAGCACGATTGCATCGACAAAAAATTCAAAATTTTCAAAAAATTCAGAATATATGTTTAACACTTCAGAATGTATGTTTTTACACCAACCACGTGTAAGCTATTCTAGAATTTATGTTGTTGAATCTAACTTAAGAATAACAAAGCCCATCTTATAAAACAATTAAAGAACGCACGCTTGAAAATTATATTCAAGTATTATGAGCTAAACAACCATGCTTAAAAACAAAAAGACTGACAACGAAAAAAAATATATTCGCTAAAACTTTGACAATTATATCCTCATTACGATGTCATCTTTTTCTTTACTTTAAAATAATATCGCTGAAAAAATCTATACTTTACTTGTTTTTAAGATAATGGTGGCGAACCTTTTTCCCACAGAACTTCAAGCCCTGCTCTGCCCCATGCAATATTCAAACTAGTTGGTATTGGTATTTTGCCTTGAGGCAAGTTACACGAACTTCCCGATATGTGTAAATAATCGATTTAATCAATAAAAAATAAATCAAATTATGAGTTAATAAAAGTATTCCAAGCAGATGTATTACACATAATTGAAAACGAACAAACACGGAGTATTTTCTAAAAGCAAATTTTCAATAATCAATTTGAATTTTTCAATTTCAATTTTTATAATTGAACCAGTTTCCGCAGGACTTAAATAGTATGTTCATTAAGACCAAGTACTCTATCGTTATACCAAGTAAATCGTCTAATTTTAATTTTAACAAACGTAAAAGAAACTACTCATTTTCTCAAACCACAAAGAATTTTTAAAATTAAACTACTTGTTGTAAGCCCGTAATATTTCAATAAGTTCTATAAGACCATGATATATATATCGCCAAAAAAGTTTCATAAAAATCGGCTTAAATTTTTTTTTCAACAGTTAATTACAAGAAAACGGCTCCGTTGATTTTCACCTAAAACTATTTTTCGAATAGTTTTTGATTTTTAAAATCGATTCGGTAGTATGAGATTAAATGTGGACGAAAAGTTTAACACTTTTTTTCTAAATTACTTAGAAACGGATCGGCCGATCGTTGCACAGAACTGAGAAACGATAATCCTCATCGAGATACATAAAATGGTTTTTAAATTTCTGAAATCGGTCCAGGCGTTTTTGAGCAAATGTCGATGAAATTTTGACAAACGCCAAAAAAACGATACTAATGTTTGCAAACTTTGAAAAAATTTTAAAGTTAAACGAGTTGTCGTGGGGCCGTAATATTTTAGTATGATCTATAAGACCATGGTATCTACCGAAAAAAAAAATCATAAAAATCGTTAAAAAAATTTTTTTAACAGTTTATTACAAGAAAACGGCCCGGCGGATCTTTACCAAAAACTAATCAGGTCGATTCCCAACCAATATCTTTCGAACGATATTTGAATTTTCAAAATTGATTCAGAATTGCGGGCTAAAACGTGGACGAAAATTTTTTCACTTTTCTGCTATTTACAAAGAAACGGCTTGGCTGATCGTCGCACAAACGCTATTGATAAACGCTAGTCCTCATCGAGATACATCGAATGGCTTTTAAATTTTTGAAATCGATCGAGTTGTTTTTGAGAAAACGTAGATTTATGGCAAAAAATCTGTTCACACAAGCACACACATACTTTTTCTGAATTTGGTCTCATTCAATTCTAAATGGCTTGAAACGTCGGGAAAACATAAAATTAGCGAATCGGATTTTTTTATGAAAACAAAACGCTCCCACTGCAGAAACAGTTCTTATTTGTTACGATCTGAACCTTCTTAATAACAGTTTTTTCAAAACAAAATTGCAAAAATTTAGAAACAATTATAAATGATTAATTTACTTACTCATACATGATAGCCGATCTTCTCCGGGCTCAGAACGGGAAAAAAAACCTTTGCGATAAATGCAAGTCTCTTATTTTTACTGGTGGACCCTTTAGTCTGTTTTTAGAAGTAGTTAGAGTAGAAGTTAAAAGCCAATCATCTTTTACAGGTTTCAATATTCTTTTTTTCTTGGCCTCGAATTAACTACCGTCATGCATACTTGTTTATCTATGACTACCATGCAGTTCATATGAAATAGTACCACTACTCTTCTTTTATCTATGAATAGTACTATGTCATTTAATCCATTGCATAAGTATGTTTATTTTGTCCGAAAGTGAATAAATACGAATAAACAATCAAATATCTATCAAACACCTGACGGTTGCATTAAAATTAATTAAAATCACTTGCACTTGCATAAGTTCATTAATTTTAGCATAAGTATTACAAATAACATTAAATAAGACATCAGAAAACATGAGAAACATTTAACTGTCTACTACAAGAATGTGACAATGACGCTTAACATCTGACAGAATTGTTATTATAAGCTAGCTTCAACGTTATACAGTCGCGGAGACGTTGCCGAAACTCGTCAATTTTTAAATTAGACAAATATCATTTAGTCGATATATGTCAGTTTTCCCTAGATGCTTTGATATCTGCTTTAATTATGCTTCTACTGTATGGCACTGTAAAATACAAAATATATTGTTCTATTATTTTAACAACTGGACCTGAATCAGAGTCCCGAGTTCGATTCCACTTCGAGCAGCCTGTTGTGAAGCAGTAGTGACAACGATTTTCACTTGGAAATATGATAGCAATATGTTTTAAGTAAAAATTGCCCTCACCTGGCATTGCTGCACCAATAAAAATATTCGCCCTATTACAAAAATTGTAATAATATATCCTTGTAATAATAATATATGCTTATTTATCTATGAATATATCATACAGAGACATGACAACTGTTTGGGCCTTATTTGCTACCTGCAGAAGTCTTGTTTTAAGTCAAATCAGCACAACAGCTTATATGACTAATAGGTTCTAATTCCTGTTCAATAAATTATAAAAAAAAAAATATTTTATTGCAAATCGAGCTTCTTATTTGATATTTTCAGACCAACATGATTCTCGGTGTGGGATTTGAAATGGTTAGTTTCATAATAATGTTACGATCAATATTATCAAATATTTGCAAAAAACAATTATGCTCTACATCCAAAAATTTGTTCAAAAGGTAGAACAAAATTAATTGGATAAATACATTTTTTTAAAAAATTATGTAGATGGATATTAGTATCACATCTTAGAATATTTCATTATAAGATAAAACCACCTGTTTTGTTAAAAAAACGGCTTAATTTACTATTAAAAACTATTTATTAAATTTATCTAAGAATTAAATAAATACAAATAATATTGATTTTAAAAGTGAAATTCTTATCATATACAATATAAGTTACAATCAAAATATTTGTATATCAATTCCAAAATCTACTCAAATAATATATACAGTTTTAGTCAACAGTAAGTTTAATAGCAAAAAGCAACTATTAATATTAATATATAATAAAAACAACGCCATCAACTATATCAAGGCGTGTTACAGATTTACTACAAAATGTTAATAGTATGGTAGTAGGACTAGCAATATTGACAAAATAAATAGGAGTATTTAATAGTGAGATTGCATTTCACTAGACTTTTACAATATGCCTCCACATATAATATTCATAATCAAGCCATATTTTAATAAATAACATTGTTTTTAGGCTCTGGTCAATCAAAAAGAAACGAAACAAAATTCAAAGATTAAAATTATTTGAAGTGTCGTTAGACATTAGAAACAATATGCATAATTTTAATTCTTTAATTTATTGTTACTCAAATATTTGCAGATTAATCTTGAAAAACTAATTATTGCTTGGGCTGTATTGTAGTTTTGCAAGTATATTTCTGTGAGTAGTTAGTTTTATAAGATCTTATTAAACTATCACATCAAACTTTGTAATTGTGATTGGTACATTTTATTTTTTTCTAATGATGGTCTTGATACAGACCAAAAAAGAGTGGTTATAAAAATTTTCTATTGTATAAATACATTACTATTAATCAATCAGGTTAGATAACTATAATATAGATAATTATAAAATTAGTGGGTATTATTTATGTTCCTACATGCACCACAAATTTGGCCTTTTTAATTATATTTAGGTTTGCAAAAAAAAAAAAAAAAAGAATGAATGAATAATCAGGTATGATCACTACAATAGGACAATTATAGAATTAGTAGATATTATGTTCCTAAGTGTTCCACAAATTTGGCCTCTTTAATTATATTTAAGTTATTCAAAAAAAAAAAAAAAAACAGAATCTGATTATCAGGTAAAATTATTGAATAAATTTATATAAATCATGAAATATTACTTTTTTTAAATCATTAAAACGTGTTATTAGTCAAATTAATCATTACATAATATTAAAATTCACTATAGTAACAAGACGCATCTTACCTTTTATCATTACTCTATAAAAACTGAAAATATTCAGCAAAATATCAAAGCACCCATCAGAGTTTGTAACAACTTATGCCATCGTCAATAAAGCATTATGTCAAAACCTTGCTAGTCCCTAAATTCTTAATAAACTGAACTATATAATCTATAAATTAAATATCTATGGTTTACAACAATATAGAGATCTAATGTAGCCTTTGAGATATAGGAACACGCTTGCGTCTTCTGCGTGGTGCCTGTCTCTGCCAGTGTTCATAATATCGTTCTTGTTTAAGCCAATCTTGATATCGATACCACCATTCTTCCCACTTGACATAATCCTGAAAATAACACATGGGCATGGATCAGATATATAATTTATATCAAATATAATTTTATAGTTTAATTGATTATACAGTAATAATTGAAGTTAAAGGTTTCTGATACCATTAGCTAATGAACCACCATAATTTTTTTTTATAAAGGTCTATCGAGTACTTACTTCTAGGTTTAAATCCCTCAAATATCCACGTCCTTTGTAGTATTCATAACGAACCCTAACATCATCCCATGAAGATAGGCCCATAGGACCAGTAGTAGCAAGTTCATCCGGATAATGCCCTGGTGGGGCTGGAGAACTAAAAAAATATTGAAAATTTATAATGACCATAGATATTACTTGATAACTAAGTTCAACAGTAGTAATATAAAAATATTTTACTGTGACCAAACAAATATCTCCATGAAAATTACCCATATCTTCTTGGAGAATTAGCACGGAAATTATCCTCAATCATAACTTTCAGATCTCCTCCAGCCGAGTCTTTGGTGATTCTCATATTTTCTATATCACGCCGATCAATTGCAAATTGAGCCATCTTACCAAACCTCTCAGATAAGGTGATAGCAGTTGAAGCTGTTGGACATGATGTTATTGAATCAGAACTGTCGGAGCCTGCACTGCTGTCTGCAGGAGATGCATGTCTGTGACTTCCTGATGGATGCTCTTGTTTCACATGAATCTGCATCTACAAGGAATATTAAAATGTAAACCATATATAACTCATATAAACATTGATAATATTGCAAAAATGTTAAAATAGAAGTGAAGTGAATTTTTATACTTTACCCTCATTTTATCAGCTTTTTTAGGTTCTGTAGGAGACCTTAAAACAGGTTTAGATGATTTGGAATGTATTATATCAGATGGAACTCTGCGCTTGGTCACTATAGTTGGTTGGTGAGGTATTTCTGGAGGAACAACACGAAGTCTGGATGATACTTTTGCTGTAGATGCCCTTATGCCATGACTTTTCACTGCGGATACACTCTGGAATTGGAAATAAACTGAATAACCATAACTTCAGAAACACATATATCATTCAGAATAAACAAATAAATAACAAATAAAAAATTCACATAATTAAAATGGATTATCAAAACAATTTCAGATCAATAATGCTGACACAATTATTTGAAATAAATTGAAATGATTGAAAGAAATTACCTTTTCTGGGCGTCTCTTAGTTTTAGCTGCAAACTTTGGAGGTGGACTGGCAGGTCTGGGTCGAGAAGCAGGTACTTTTGATTTTACTGAAGCATGAGAAGCGTGAGATTTTGTATGCGGTACTGAATATGATCGTGACCTGTTAGTTTAAAAATATTGATAAACCAAATTTTAAAAACATTCTTATGATGCATGATTTAAAAAGAATATAGAACAGCAACATGGGCAAAAATGAGAAAACACTAATAACACAAACCTTGATCTGCGATTTCTTCTTGCTTTTGGGGTGCAAACAGAACAAGAATCATCTGAACAGCTACTTAAAGTACTGCGTGATGGAGACTTTGCATTCTGCAATAAATATTGTAATGTTTATATATTTATCAAAATTAAAAAACTAAAATGTTCTTCAGTGTGACATTTGGAAGCGTGATATTTCATTATAATTCAACATATAACTACAACATAAATATATACAACAGGTGCAATAGTACATATAACTACAACTTAACTTACTGTAATATTAATTGTACCTATCATGAAAATATTCGCTTTTTTTTATTACAGATTAAAAAATATGAGATTTAAAGTGCATCCTAAAGCTTTGATGAAACTGTGAACATTTTTTGGTTATTGTGGTTAATTTTGTTCATTCTAACTTTGGATTCGTACGGTAAATAACATTTCTAGGACCAGTCAAAAATAATGATATGATTGCTGCAAGTTTTCAAGAATTACTTTTTGTTACACTGAATTAAAAAGTTTCAAAATCGGTCTACTACAAAAAAAATTTAGTAAAATGTGCTGGAATGTTTTGTCAAAAGTTGGTGCATTTAATCAAGGTTGCAAAATGGTAAAATAATTGATAGTGTCGTGATACGAAAATTTGAGTAAAAAAATAAAAACCAACAAATAACATGATTTTTGCTAGTGCATTTAATTAGCAGTCAGTTCAAATGATTGTTGTACACACAACATGTGTGAGAGAAAAATATTTGAACTAAATGTGAGTAAAGGTTTTTATGTTTTTTCTCGAATTTTTTTTTATTATGAGCAATTTACCATTTTACAATCTTGACTAAACTCGCCAACTTTTGTTGAAACTGGACAACACTTTATTATGTAATACCTTATTATTATTAACACATATATTATATGTGTACATTAAGATTGAAAAACTAAATAACTAATGATCAACAATTTTCAAGTGCATGTTTTACTACTATTTTGAAGAATAAATCCACCTCCCAAATGTCATTCTGAATAACCTCCTAAACCAAAATAAAAAAATCAGACTCTTATCGGAGATGCAGGCCTCCTGCTCTTGCTGGGCTGCGTTCTGCTCCGATGGTCAGTCTTGGCGACAGCCGCACGCGAATCCTTCGATTTGATCGGTGATGCAGGCGGTGTCCTCCTTCTCTGCTGGATCGGAGAACGAAGTCGGCCCCTGGAGCGCGATCTGCTGCGTGACCTGTGACGCACGGAATCATCGGAACTAGAATCACCATCTACATAAAGCTTTTTGTATCCTGTATGGCGCCACCTGCATAGTAGGTGTAGTTGGTAACAAAAAATAAAAGAAACAATAAGGAAATCATAAGAAGACGCGTTCTGGATTGCTAATTAATACCGCAAAATTGGATTTAGCAAGCAATTCATAGCATTTAATCATAAAGTTTCATAGGTTTATAATCTATTATAGTTCCTTATCACCATTGTAATATTCATTTCAGAAAGTAACTACAATGCCAGCAAAATAATATATAAATAATAATAGAAAAACTAAATGCATGAGAACATTACAAACAATAATAAATTCGCGTACATTGATTTCTAACACATAATGAGTTATTTTTTTGTCAATTTGTTATTATTTTGATACCATTTTATAGGTTTTTTTCAACTCCCTAGCTCATCATTTTTGCAAGATATCATTGAAAACATGTAAAAAAACATCAGACTCACTTCTTGTCGGAAATATGAGAGGTATCGCAAAAATATTAAAGTGATTCTATCCACACTGATCTTGTCTATGTCATTCATAACAAATGATGTGAAAAAACATTTGTTAGTGTCTGAAAAAGTGAAAATAATTCTTCATTTTCCATTTACCAGTGCTGGACTACTTTTAAATTAGCGTAACTCGAAAGCCTGTACATTTTTCTTCTGTTATTCATAAAATCATTCAAATCTAGGTGGAACTTCGTGGTCAAAAGTTAGAAAAACTTAAGCTAGTACACGCGCTGCCGGTACAAGAACACCCACATAAGTTCGCTTTGCAAGAGCGACGAGCAGGCATAAGGCTCAGTCGTTATCGCGCGTCTTGACAAATTCTGTACATGGAAATATTTATTAAAAACCAAAATTTATTTATATCTTGTATATAAGTATATTCATTAGTCAAAATTAAAAATCCAATACGCCGAATAAAAACAATAATTATTATTATTGATTATTTTTGTTTGCCGTATAAGATCGAACTAACATATTTCAATGCATAAAAAACTTTGAAGATTTCAATATTTTTTATATATTAATGTCGACCATAAAAAATATTTTGATTTTAATTCAATACCTTTTTAGATTTAATACAATGTTAATATGATATTTCATATAGTTATCATTAAAAAAATAATGAATCGATAAAAAATATATGTCAGTATACTTTTCATTTCTATTCAACGGAAGTATGTTAAATAAAGTACATATTAAGAATATATTAAAGTATTAAAATGTATTAAATGAAGTATTAAAAATATATTAAATAAAGTATTGAAAATAAATTTAATAATACTTCTGTGAGGAATTAGTCTACACATACATAACACATATTATGTCACAACAAATTAAATTTATTATGATTGTTCATGGGGAATAAGAAAAATAAAAACTATTATTTTTTTCAAGAAATAGGGAAAATAATTATAATAATTTTTTCTATATACGTTAGGGTGGTCCTCAATATAGACATTTTCGAATTTCCTTGCTCAAACTTTTGTATGGAAATACCATGAAATTTTTTTCAAAAATTTTGCGTAGCGTCGAATTTTCAATAAAAATGACACAAATTTTCACTTTTAATTCATTTGCCGCTAAGTTATACCTAAAAATTTTTTTTTCAATTTTCAAAATTTTTTCCATGCTATTTTCATACGAAGTTTCATTGAATTGCGCACTATCTAAAAGTTAATATTAAGAGCTAAAACTTTCAGAGGATTGTTTTTTATCAATTTGAAACCATTTGAGCCCGTGGGAGCAAGGAAATTCGAAAATGTGCATATTAAGGACCACCCTAATGTACCTACTATACAATTGTTCATCATCCACAGTTTTCTTAATTTAATTCCCTTTCAATATAAATATTTATCGTAATACTTGCAAATTTTTTGACATCATGATAAAATTGTCACTAAAATGGGATATTAGAGCAATTTCAGCCAATTCAAAAACAGTGAACAGAAAACACAAAAAAGAAAATCTTTTTTGAAAAACTAATAATTAACCTTAAAATACTTTTTATTGTTGACATTAATATAGTCTAGTCTAAGATAAATGAAATAATTTATGGTTTTTGAAAATAAAACTATAAATTTAAAGTTAAAATTAAAAGCATAATAACTATATAAATTTATATATATAAAATATATAATTATATTTGAGCAACAGTAGCATTAGTACAAGTTTTTATAAAAAATAAAAAAAAATACCTATTTGGATCACGTTCCTCAGCTTCAATCACTTTTTTATCCCATTGTCCATTTGAAGAAGATGCTCTGGCTTTTCTTATTACATTGTCAATTTCTCTACGTTTTGTTGCTGGAAGACTTGGATCTAAAATATAAAAACTTGACTATTACTATAAAAAGCTCATATTATAAGAAAGGTATAATTATGACTTTCATACCATTGATTCTTGCATGTACAGGATTTCTATCCATTCGCAATCGAGCAGAGGATGGAACCTTTGAAGACATGCTTCCAGAGTTTCTACTTCTTGAAGACATTCTGTAATGAAAACTACAGTTTTCTGAATAAATGAAGAATAAGTCACATTCATTGTGTAATCTTTTGGAGTAGAGTAAGATATAATATTATATTCCAAAAACAGTTATATTTAATACTCTAACAATAAAAAATGAATTGATAATATTGTGATTTTCTTTTAAGAAAAAAACTACACAAACATAGTTCTAACAAGAGAAGAATAATTGCTGCATTAACTTGAATAGTACAAAAATATATATTTTATGCACATATATTCTTCATTGCATTGCGTGCAGTAATTTATCTGTAAATATATAGCAATTTATTAAAGTAGATTTAAATCTTTATTCATATAAATTACTGAATACTCTCAAACTCTAAAGATCTTTTATAAATTTTACTATACTACAATATACTTGAAGAAATAAATCAATTGGACCAAAAAAATTATCTCAAGTAGGTTCAATATTAAGGGGGTATTCTTGTGCAGAAATTCAAAAATATTATTTTTTCTTTTGTTCCATATTCTCAAAGTTAACTATTTAAGAATATGTGATCGAGAAGATTTTTTTTAAATTATAAAATTTTTTCGGATATACAGCTCCTCTTCTGTTACCTTCATTTTGCAAAACTTTAAACGCCCTTTTCTCAAAACTTACTTTTTCAATACGATGTCCACGATTTCTCAGATTCTACTGGGCCGATTCACTTGAAATTTTCAGAAAATCTTCTCTCTGACATATACTAGCCTTATCCCCAAATTTCAATATTTTTATTTTTAAAAAATTCGTGAAACACAGAAAGTGGTAAGAAAAAATATTTTTTTTCAAACAGTGGCTATTTTGTAAAAATTTTTTTCAACTTAATTGTAGTATATAGCTTTGCAACATCATTCTAGATTAATAAGATTTTTTTCTTTTCCATTTCGGATTACTAGGTGGACTGCAATCGTGAGCATGATCAGGTGTCCATTTTTCAGGACACGCCACTTCAACAACTGCCAATGTTTAAAATTATTAACTTTTTTTTTTATTTTTACTTTCTTTTTGTACTCTTGTATAACATTGATAAAAAAATTATAGAAAAAATAATAAAAAAAATGATACTCTTTTTTACAATGATTTGAAAATGACAAAATTTATGTCTCTGCACTAAAATAGCCCCTTAATTTTTTTTACAAGTTTTAAGTCTGCACTAGAATATCCCCCTAATTTTCAGTTAAGTCAGTTTGCACTAGAATAGACCCTTAATTTTTTTACAAGTTTTAAGTCTGCACTAGAATATCCCCTTAATTTTCAGTTAAGTCAGTCTGCACTAGAATAGTCCCTTAATTTTTTTACAAGTTTTAAGTCTGCACTAGAATATTCCCCTAATTTTCAGTTAAGTCAGTTTGCACTAGAATAGACCCTTAATTTTTTTACAAGTTTTAAGTCTGCACTAGAATATCCCCTTAATTTTCAGTTAAGTCAGTCTGCACTAGAATAGCCCCTTAATTTTTTTACAAGTTTTAAGTCTGCACTAAAATATCCCCTTAATTTTCAGTTAAGTCAGTCTGCACTAGAATAGACCCTTAATTTTTTTACAAGTTTTAAGTCTGCACTAGAATATCCCCCTAATTTTCAGTTAAGTCAGTTTGCACTAGAATAGACCCTTAATTTTTTTACAAGTTTTAAGTCTGCACTAGAATATCCCCTTAATTTTCAGTTAAGTCAGTCTGCACTAGAATAGTCCCTTAATTTTTTTACAAGTTTTAAGTCTGCACTAGAATATTCCCCTAATTTTCAGTTAAGTCAGTTTGCACTAGAATAGACCCTTAATTTTTTTACAAGTTTTAAGTCTGCACTAGAATAGCCCCTTAATTTTCAGTTAAGTCAGTCTGCACTAGAATAGCCCCTTAATTTTTTTACAAGTTTTAAGTCTGCACTAAAATATCCCCTTAATTTTCAGTTAAGTCAGTCTGCACTAGAATAGACCCTTAATTTTTTTACAAGTTTTAAGTCTGCACTAGAATATCCCCTTAATTTTCAGTTAAGTCAGTCTGCACTAAAATAGACCCTTAATTTTTTACAAGTTTGAACTATTCTTTAAATTTCTCAGATTTAGTTTTCAAAAATATGATTAGAAGTTTTGAGTATATCTATTGTACTTGCCTGTATTAATTTATTTACAAATTATCCAAGAATTTTCTGCTTCTTTAGTGTATCGCGACGAATCGTAAGCTTAGCCAGGAGCGCCTGGCCGCCGGACGACAACCACACGCGGCGTTTTGCAGATTTCGCACAGCGACTTGTATACTGTAATCCACATTATATAGCATAAATATTCTTTTCACAGTTATCATTTGGGTACACCAAATAGTCTACCCTATTCCAACGCGCGCCATTGTTTATAAATTATAAGGCATTCATTCAAAATACAAACTCAGGGGGAGTCTTGGAGACTCGACCTCTGAAGGTTCTGTCACGGACTCTTCGGGTCCGGACCTTAATGAATAACCCGACAGGAAAGTCCGTCATAGACCCGAAGGGTACGGAACCTGCAAACATACCGGCATTAAATGATACGACCCGAAATCATTACCCGAGGGTATGGACCCAGATTTGTCGAAACCCCGAAATTAACATCCGACAAGGAACGAACCTCAAAATCTTTAAACCGACGCGAATGGGGAGAAATATATCTCGACCCATGAATGGCGAGCGATTTATCCCAATTGAACATTTTCTTTTCAACTTCGTTCCACAAGCAACATGAGCCAAGCACTCAAAGTGGGAAGTTTTTTAAAGAAAATACTAAAATCATCACAAATTTTGTACACCAATTTAAGCTAAATTTTATATCACCATCATAAACAATATTCACAAGTGACACAAATTTAACACTTCACAAAAGTTCATAGGAAAGTTAAGCATAAGCAAAATAAAATACAAATCTCTATCATCTTTTTACTAATACCTTTTCCTTTTATATATTAACAAACTGGACAATTCGTATACTTGTATCTTTTACACAAACAATTTCACAATTAATGAAGTTTACACTGTAGTCAAATTATCAACGCGCCATAGGCAGAGGAGTCATGTTCACGATTAGATTAGAACTTAGAACAATTAGATGTTGCCTTCTACGCTCTATGGAACAGTCATCCATAAAGGCGTACCCTGTTGGCGTAACTAAAATCATTCATAGCGGATATTAACTGGCGATTTAATCGAAATTTTAAAATCTATTATTTAAAATCAGGGTAGGAAATCAAGAAATGAAAAACTTGCACCACATGAATTTCTTGATAAGTAAGTATCTGACATCTCACGGTACATCCTCGAACAAAGAAGATTCAAGCCCTCACTGCTTTGAAGCGTTTGTTCAAGTTCGTTTGGAATGATTCGCCTTCGTTCGTGGTCTTGTTTGTTCTCCTTGTTCGTTCGTTAGGTGTGGCGCACCTTAAATTATTATATTTGGAGTATCAAGCTCCATAGATAAGTAAACGAGTCTCGCTCATAGACCTTATACCACCTTATACAATTATATAAGGTCTATGGTCTCGCTATGTGCGAAGGCATGGAAGGGGAAGTCAAATCGACCGAAGCGTTCGTAGTGGCTACTTTGAGCATTAAATGTAGCTATTATAACCGAAATTTTAAAGAAAAACACATAAAATATTTGTTTATTTCAAATTTAAATAAGATAAATAAAAATGAGCCATCAAAGCTGTTGTGTAGTGGGTTGTAGAAATACCAGCAGAAAAAGTGACTGCAAATTCTATACATTTTCTACAGCTAACATAAGTGGAAAGAAAATCAACGGGAAAAGTGGATCGCTGTGGTTAGAAGAATAAAGTAATTATCATAACCTTATTGTTATAAAAATACAATTCGGAGTATTATGAATTGTTGTAAAATTGTTGTTTTGCAAAAAGAAAAATTATGTCATTAAATTGTTATATTATCAAAATTTAATGCTTACTAAAAAAAAAAATGTTTTGCAAACAATGTAATTAATACAAGGCTGAAATAATGAAAAATATATATTTGTATATTGTATATTGATTATGTATAACTATTATCTATATATTAATTACATTTTATTATACAATAATTGTAATTTTATGATTAAAAGAAAAATAAAAGTTATCACACAGCGATAAAATGTTTATTTTGCAAACAGTTTAATTAATACAATGCTGAAATAATGCAAAATATATATTACTTTATAAGCATAATTGAAAACTGGTTTATTTTCACATGTACTAGGACATTTGAATTCAACAATTTTTGCAACACAACCATCATGGATGACAACTCCGTCAATACTTGCACAAAGCCATGGCTGATATTTGTGCATTTGTGCATACAATTGTAAATTTGTTCATATTTTTTTTTAGCAGAAGTTTCCATTTTTAAACCATGTTTTGTAGAGCTGCTGTAAACTTGGACGCGGATGGATGTAGTATGTCTGATACCAAAGATTCAACTGGTTTTCTGCTCAAAACTTTTATATTATGAACATTAGAACTTGCGGAAATCCTTAAACGTTTAGCTTGGAACCAAGTTTTACAAAAATACTGCTGAACGGTTTCACAAGACAGTTGAATGATTTTATCATGTGATAAGTGGACATTATTAAAAAAAAAAAACTCTCAGAGAACCGGATTCAAATTATATTGAGTTTGATAAGTAGCATATTTTTTCATACATAGCATTTTTCTTTCTCTAAATTTCTACTTGCGCAAACAGAGAGTTAACTACATTTCTTACTGTATGTTTATTAATTTTCATCAGCTGTGCTTCCATAATTCGTTTCAAAGATGAATCAACTTTTAAATCAGCAATTGAAACATACTGAGGCTCATGTAATTGAGTGTACTTATGCGGCATAATTTTTTTAAAATATGCTTCTTTTGAATATTTCTGTTTAGTAAATGTTTGAGCGCCCAGCTTACCCCACTGCTGCTCGTGACACGTTTTCGAAGTACTTTCTTTATTGTTATTGAAACAAATTAATGCTGCAACGTGTTTACACTTCCCACTCTTGTTATATACACAATTATAGTAAACATTTCACGTAACTTTCACAGTTTATCTGAAATTAAAATAGAACAATATAATAATTATATACTACTAAAACAATATTTACAGTAACAAAATAAATTATCTAAATGTGCATTACGTGTACAGACGTAGCGTATGATGTAGCATGGACTGATGCTTGTCGAATAATGCGAGATTTTATTAAAAAACTTTCCAAGTTCCCTCGATGTTCCTCAACTTCTCTCACATGTCCAGCATCAACAAGTTTTTTTCCTTTACTCATTGTTTCCGGCTGGAACTTTATTTAATGGGTGATGGACTCAAATCCTGTCTTTATAATAATGTCCATGTCTTTGATTATTTACTTATTCTATTGAGAAAATATTTTTATCATTATTACAATTGATTTATTAAGACTATTCCGAGATTTTGACATAATTTTTATGCAACTTAACCTTATAAATGTTTACTGCATTTCTTTATTTATTTTATCATACGTACCTTTATTTTAAGTACGTTGAAGTAAATTTGAAAATTGCATTACTTATTCAACTTTCACTTTCTTGTTGTAACTTATTAATTATTATTAATAATACTTCTTTATCAGCTTTTTTCTTTAAAAACATATAAAAACACATGTAAAGCACGCACTGCTGCCTCCATAGATAAACAAGTATAAATTTTATTATTTCTATTAGTTCACACGTGATGGTTCACATTTAGTCTGGCGCTGCAGTCACGCTCGGAGCGATAAACATGTTAACTAGTTGGTATTGGTATTTTGGGTATTTTGCCTTGAGGCAAGTTCCCGAACTTCCCGATATGTGTAAATAATCGACTTAATCAATAAAAAATAAATTTATGAGTTACTGAAAGTATTCCGAGTGGATTTATTACACATAATTGAAAACGAACGAACACGTCAACTCGGATCGGAGTATTTTCTAAAAGCAAATTTTCAAAATTTCAATAATTTTTATAATTAAACCAGTTTCCGTAGGACTTTAATGGTTTAGTATGCTCATTAAGATCAAGTACTCTATTGATATACCAAGAAAATCGCCTAATTTTAATTTTAACAAACGTCAAATAAAAACTACTCATTTTCTCAAACTTTGATAAATTTTTAAAATTAAACTACTTGTTGTAAGGCCGTAATATTTTAGTAGGTTCTATAAGACCATGATATATATCGCCAAAAAAGTTCCATAAAAATCGGCTTAAATTTTTTTTTAACAGTTTATTACTATAGTTAATAATAATTAATTATTAATAAACTTATTACTTAAATAATAATAATTAATTAATTAATAAACGGTTCAGTAGTTTTCACCTAAAACTAATCAGTATCATTCCAACTAATATCTTTCAAACAGTTTTTGATTTTTTTAAATCGATTTGGTAGCATGAGCTTAAATGTGGACGAAAAGTTTAACACCTTTCTCCAAATTACAAAGAAACAGCTCGACATATCGTCGCACTAAACTGACAAACGATAACCCTCATCGAGATACATCAAATGGCTTTTAAATTCCTGAAATCGGTTCAAGCGTTTTTGAGCAAACGTCGATGAGAAGTCTAATTTTGACAAACACCAAAAAAACGATACTAATTTTTGCAAATTTTGACGAATTTTTAAAATTAAACAACTTGTAGGTTCGTAATATTTTAGTATGATCTATAAGACTTAAAATCATAAAAATCGTCAAAAATTTTTTTTTTACCATTTTATTACAAGAAAACGACCCGGCCAATCATTACCAAAAACTAATCAGGTCGATTCCCAACCAATATTTTTCAAACGGTTTTTGAATTTTCAAAATAGATTCAGAATTTTTTTTTTTTTTTTTTTTTATTTCTGTTAATTTTAACAATCAGATTACAATACAATCTATAAGTTAAAAGTTATGGTATTGAAAATCAAAATCAAAAAGAAAAAAAATAGAATAAAGGAAATTAAAGAAAAGAAATAGAATAAATGAATGAATAAATAATAATTAAAATAATAGTATTAATAATAAACAATTTTTTTTTCACTTTTCTGCTATTTACAAAGAAACGGCTTGGCTGATCGTCGCGCAAAATTGATAGACGTTAGTCCTCATCGAAATACATCGAGTGGCTTTCGAATTTTTAAAATTGATCCAGCCGTTTTTGAGAAAACGTCGATTTACGGCAAAAAAGCTGTTTACATACACGCACACACATTCACACACATACTTTTTTCAAATTTGCTCTCAGTCAATTCAGAATGGCTTCAAACGTCGAGAAAACATAAAATTAGCGAATTTTTTATGAAAGCATAAACTTCTCCTTCGGGAAGTTAAAAATGCAAATAAATATCATCAAATGAAAATCTGCAAATCAATAACTATCCATTCATAGATAAAACAAGAGTGTCGATTTCATAACCAGCGCCTCGCGTGTCATTAGTGACAACTATTTTATTAACTAGTCTTGCCATATGTGACTAAACTTCACTAAATATTTATGAATCTATCGTATTTGTGCAATACTAGGCAAACGTCAAAACTATCCGTCATTCAATATTTTGTTTGCACAAATACATTTTAATACACATTATTTTACCAAATACTGTTAAATATAAAAAAATTATATAAATTATGCAATATTAAGGATTATTCTATTATTATTTAGGTATTTTCAGTCATATATTTGAGGTGAACCTCTTGACTGTCAATATGATTTACTTTTACTTTTTTAATTATCGCCTGTTTAATTACTTTTTAGGAACAATTAGTTATTTAATTGGAAATGGATTTATTAAAAATTGGTCAACGCGTTGCTATTTCGGGTAAAGACGTGCGTGGATCGATAGCCTTTTATGGGACTGCTTCTTTTGCATCTGGTAAATGGGTTGGTGTAATTCTTGATGAACCTAAAGGCAAGAATAATGGCAACATTAAGGGTGTCACATATTTTACAGTAAGTACATAAAATGTAATGAATATACTATTAATGAGGTCTATTTTTGTGAAGAAAATTATATTAATAAATAAGCACAATTATTTTCTTTTAAGATATTTTACATTTTACTCATTTTATTTATATATTATTATTATAATAAAATAATTACTAATGAATTAATTTTGAATAATTTATTATATATTTTAATTTAGTGTCCAGAAAATCATGGTATGTTTGTTCGTGCATCTAACCTTATTTTTCTTGACGATAATGGACATCCTCTACCAGATCAAGGCAACATGACAGCATCAAAATCTAATTCCTCTCTAAATAGGTATGCTTGCCTGTTAATTTTTTTTATTTTTTAAGAATATTTAAGTATTTATATATTCAATGTTTTAATGCTTACTGAAAAATATAAGATCGTGGAAAAAAACTCCTTTAAAACCAAGAACTGTAATATCATCATCAAGGTAAGAAATTACCATAGAATGGAATTCAGAGCAGAATTCAGCTTTTATTATGACTAGATTTATTGCTAATGTAAATATAAAGGCACATATCATTTTTAAAAATATTAGATAATTATTTTTTATCAACTTCATTAATGATATATAAATATATTTTCAACTGTCTAATTATTTTGCACAACATTTATTATTTGGCTGTAGATATTACACCCACATATTGACTAATATAAATATTAATGCACTATTTTGATGGTAAAAGAAATTTTAATTTAAATTTGATATTGATAATTGCCATTTCGTTGACAGTTCACAAATGTCTTTATCCGGAAGTCGTCATTCACTATCAGGATCTCATAGCACATTAATATCCCCTGCGACTGAAACTGCAGCAGATTCGCCTATAGAACATAATATGAAGGATTCAGTATCAAGTCACACCTTAGCAGCATCTTCCAAACGAGCATCTTTCATAGAAGTTAGAAGAAATAGAATTTATTTTGCATTCTTAATCTTGAATAGTAATTACTGGTTAATATTTTCCAGACTGGTTTTGTAGAAACTTTGAAACCTCAATATATACCAGGGCAATCTCTGACATCACCTTCTCCTGCGTTAACAGTAGAAAATAAATCTAATGCGAATATTCAACAGCAACAAGAAGTAAGTAGACACATTTAACTAATCATAAATTTACTAATTGAATATAAATGAATAAAAAAAATTATTTACTACTCAAATAACTATGATATATACTTATAGCAAACTATTCGGGATCTGACAGAAAAATTAGAAACATTAAAACTCCGAAGATCTGAGGATAAAGAAAAATTGAAGGAATTTGAAAAATTGTTGTTGGTAAATCAACAGCTACAAGAGTTTAAAACAAAAATAATGGATGTTCATTCTCAACTTCAAAAAGATTTACAAAGAGCAAAGCAAGAGGTAAATATATAAGTTCTATTCTTCAATAAATGTTTAGACCAAAATGGATTAAAAAAATACTCACTTTTTTTTGTAAGAAATAATTTATTTCATGACTGAATAGAAGTTTAATTTGTTAAATTTTTTAGACTAGAGAAGCAATAGAAGCGAAGGATGCTCATGCAGAAGAAATGGCCGATTTGGCAGAGACTGTTGAAATGGCAACACTGGACAAGGAAATGGCTGAAGAGAAAGCTGAAACGCTACAAATTGAATTAGAAACTGCAAAAGAAAAAATTGAGGAACTGACTTTAGATTTGGAACTGCTGAAAGAAGCTCAAACTGCTAAAGGAGGTATATTAATATAAATAGATAAAGTTATTGCTGAGTATATAAATGATTTAATACTTTGGTAAAATAATTCATTATTTCACTTTACATATGCTTATTTGTTTATGATTTTGTCAATATATTTAAAATTGAAGCTTAGCAAGCTAAAAATAAAAGGCTATTGAGTCTTAAGGGGGGCGATACATGTAATCGCTTTAATTTTTACCGTTTTTTGAGGACTTTTTAAACTGGGAAGGAATGACTGAATCTTTTTGAACTTTTTTAGGGTTATTTATTGTATATTAAAATACACAAAAAAAAATTTTTTTTAATTTTTTTTTTAAATGGCTGCCGTAAAAATAAAACTGCCAAGACCCTCTCGGAAAAAGCCATCAATTTGCGGGCGTTCTCACTTTTCGTACGGTGATCTGAAATCAAAAAAATTAGTTTGTACGTGTTCATAAAACATATATCTTCTAGTTAAGCCCAAAAAAAAAATTAAAATAGTCACAAAATCGTAAATTGGCACACCTCAGAAAAAAAGTTCGATTTTTCATCTTTTTTTCAATGGTTTTTTTGGTAAAAGGGTTAATTTTTGAAATTTTTTTTGGAATGTTTGAGGCTTAACTAGAAGCTATTACTGTAAAGTAGATGTGTGCAAAATTTCATTGGAATCGGTTGAGAACTTTTTGAGTTATCCCACCCCCAAATTTCAAAAATGTCGTTTTGAGAAAAACGCGTTTAAAGTTTTGACACATAGAAACTGTATGATTAAAGTGGCTTACCGATTAATCAGCTATTCCAGGGCCATATAGAAGTCCTTCGGTACGTTCAAGGAACTGGTTTTTCTTTGCAAGTTCCTGCAGACATGCTTGACGAGCTTGTTTGGTGGTCAAAGAGCTGCGGCGATTTTCTCGATTCACTCTTTGCTCATCGATTTTCTCTTTATATGACATGGATTGGCGGCCAATAACAATTTGCAGTGAGTTCATAAGTTGTAAGATAAAATTTAACCCATAATTGAACAACCCTGCAGATATAAAAGCACTAATCTCTATGACCTCCTAAACATTTTTCAAGCAAGTCATCCCGAGATAAATCGTCAAAAATTGGCTTAATATGAGGTTGAACATCAGGATGGAGTTGGATATTTAATTTCTTTGGGATTTTCTCCTAAAGATTCAGCTTTGCGCCACTTGTACCAGCTATCGGAACCAGGCATTTTTTTGAGATGTTATTCTAACGATTTATGAAAAAAAAAAATCAACTTTTTTTTTTTACATGTATCGCCCTCCTTAACTTGATTTTATGATGAAGCAAAAATATTTTGTAGTTATATAGTTGACTGTTTTTCAATTGCAGTAATAAATTTTATTTCTCCAGGTGTGATCAATACATCAGAATATGATATGAAGCAGCTGGAACAGCACAATAATCGTCTTAGAGAAACTCTAGTTAGAATGAGAGATCTATCAGCACACGAGAAGCATGAAATGCAGAAAATGCAAAAGGATTTAGATAAAACTAAATCAGAATTAACCGAATTGGCAAGGACCAAAGAAAAATTAAGTGCTAGAGTGGAGGAGTTAGAGTTTCAAATTGTTGATTTACAGGAACAAGTAATTATATTAAAGATTTAATTAATTGTATTATATATTCGATTTACAGTAATTGGTTACTGTAATAGAATTTTATTTATTGTATTATTCATTAAATAATCTATTGCAGGTTGATGCAGCTCTGGGTGCTGAGGAGATGGTTGAGCAACTTGGCGAAAAGAAAATGGAATTGGAAGATCAGGTAATTCTGATCTACTCTTATCTAACTAATATACTTTGTACAATATAAGCAAAGACTTAATCAGATGATATTAATGTAGCAAATAAATATTGTAGTATTCAGAATAAATTTTATACAAACAAAATTTAGCTCTTAAATATATTAAATTAGTATTTGTTTTTCGTTTAATTGATTTATGATACATTATTATTTTTTTAGGTCAAACGGTTAGAAGAAGAAGTAAGTGAATTAGAAGCTCTGCAAGATGTGCATGAGGAATTAGTAGAATCAAATCATGAACTAGAATTAGATCTTCGGGAGGAGTTAGAAATGGCCCATTCAGCTAGACGAGAGGTATAATACTTCTTCACAATATCTTTCAATTTTTTAATCATTTGTCAGCTATCAACTTTGTTCAGGCACTTCGTGAGAGAGAGGCTATGCTAGAAACCATTTTGGACCGGGATTCCACCATTATGAAATTCAGGGAGCTTGTACAGAAAATAAATGACCAAAATATGGATCTTAGAAATAAATTGGAAATGGAGAGTGCTAGAGTAGACTCTGTTCCAGTTGAAAGTTTAGATTTTAAACAAATGTTTTTGGAAACCAAAGAACATACTAGAGCTGTAGATTTGCAAATCAGGAAGATAGAATTGACACAGGCGAATGAACATGTAAAATATCTGACTGCTTATATGCCTGATACATTTATGAATAGAGGAGGTACAGGATTATTTTATATTTCATATAATTCTTATTTAATTATTTATAAGTGAATTTTTTATTGAAAGTTGATTTTATTTTTTAAATCGATTTTTTAAGGCATGAAATTTTTAGGCAAATAAGAATATCTTGTCTTTTAAGAATTTTTAGCACATTTATATATCTGAACTTTGTCAGACCATTTTTATTTTCTAGTAAAAACAACGTTAATATTTATGATTTCAGGTGATCATGATGCTATTTTAGTTCTGCTACTTGTTTCAAGGCTAGTATGGAAATTAGATATATTAGCAGCTCAAGTTCGAGAAAGATTCCCTCCAGTCACCAAAATTGACAAGAATGCCGTTATGCAGGCTCATAACGTTCATCAGTATTCTTTTAGATGTCGATTTGTTTATTATATACATGTATTACAAGTGAGTAAGACTCTTCAAGTATAACTTAATTAATATGAATAATATATATTTAAAATGAATTCAAAATTAGTTTCAAAAGTGTCCACAATAACTTGCTATACACTATTGACAACATTAGGAGTTAGGTATAACACTAAATCTAATTATTTTTTGTGGAAGATCAACAATTATGAAAATAAATTATCTATGACATGTTCTAACATTAAATGACTCCTTAATTAAAAGACAGAAGACATGAAATATTAAGTATTCATAAAATTTTTACAATGTAGTCATATAAACTTCTAACAAAATTTTGAAAATAAATTCTCCAAGCATAACTTGAATTTTAATATATTTATTTTATTTCACCACAGGGCATTCTACAGCAGTTCTCCTATGCCCTGAATGTATGTGCTCCTGATGAATTATTAAAAGTCGGATCTACTTATCCAGAAATGTCTGTTCAAGAAAGAATTATAGATAATTTTGTAGATTTATTGAAACGTAATCAATTAGATGAAAATAGTCAAACAGATGGTAATTATACATTTATATATATATATATATATATATATATATATATATATATCTCAATAATATTGATACTAAAATACTTTTTGTTCAGTTTTGGAGAAATGCATAGGCTATTTTACTGCAATGCATATGGTGTTGTTGCCTGATCCAGCTTTAATTAACGAAGTCCAGCTCATCAGAGATATTATTTCTGCCTGGACAGCAGCTATGGATGGTCTAGTCACAGATGGTTCAATCATTAGATCCCTAGCTCAAGTATGTATTATTCCAATTCTTATTAGTGGACAGCTGCACTATTTTCAGTAATCTGGACAATCATTTACGCGTCTTATATCTCTTGCAACTTTGAAACTGTTTAATACAAATTTGACATTTGGCATTTCAAATGAACTACAATACTTTATAATATCATAATTTCTAAGAGCATCTTTTATTAATCAGCATTTTAACACAATAATTCATGGATAAATTGTTAAATTTTAGACAGATGGAAGCAAACAAGAATCTTCATTGCTAGCTCAGCATGTCATTACAACTGCTGAATCTGTTTTGCAACAATTGAAACTCTGTAGAAGGAGACTTCCACAGGATATAAAAACCAAAAAAATTGGTTTCAGTGATGTGGAAACTTTGAAAGCTTGTCAACCTTTAGTGACAAAGGTTTCAGCTGTTATTAACCATGTTTCTAAGTTGACGGTGCCACTTGTTACTGCTTCTGGGGGTAAGATGATACATATTTATAAATGTCAGTCATGCAGTTTTCGGTATTATATACAGAATGCTAAATTAAGTTTGTCAATTAAGCATTATGACTATTCTATTTATATTAGATAAATCAATAAGAATTCATAGTGTAAATATCCATTTTGGAGATGAATAATAATTAGTTCTCTATCTGAAAGCAGGTCCGAGGTGTACGATCATCACAAATTAATGATTCTCATTTCTTTCCTTATTGGGAAGATTTCAGTAATAAACTGAATAATTAAAAGGGCTATTAATGTCCAGCCTATTTTTGTTTTTTTGCTAGAAGATTGGTAACAGTGCTAAACCCTTTTTTTAATAAATATGATGATGTAAGGGAAATTAAAAGTTGTTACTATATTTCATAATATGGGATAACGGGTATGTTTTTTTGCAACTAGAGTATCTGATATTCGTTTTTATCTAAATAGAGGGCATTTAAATGTTCAACATGGGTGAAAACGTCGCCTTCCTGGCACTTCGTTTGTGACAAATTGGAAACTTTGGCATATTTAGCTTGACTAGTTTAATCTTTGAAAGAAATGCTGCAGAGATCGATTTCGTTTTAATTAAGGTTAGACTGCCGCCTTGTAATTTTTAATTAATCATATTAAATTTGGCAAACATCTGTTACAATGTCTGTTTTACACTTTATTCATAAGCAATTTTTTCCATATAAATACATTGACATGCCAATTTGTTCCAGCACTTCTTGTGGTTTTTGTTAAGTTATTTTGTATATCAAAAATAAATTTACTGTTTATTAATTTCATTTTTTTTCATGTCTATTCATGATATTGAGAAAATGAGTTAGACATGTTTTGTTGAACAGCTCCCATTCTCGGACTGTTGCAAATTTTTTGAGGAGATTTTTATCTTCAAACTTCTAGAGCTCATAAAGTTGCTTTTAAATGATTGTAATTAATTCATATATGTAAACAGTACATATCTATGATTTGTTACGCTCGTACATCCTCGTCATCCTCATATTTTTCATTATTTCATGATTTAATTTAAGAGACATGGCCCTTTTTTTGAGACCCAAAAGATTATAAAAGTGAATAGTATCTTATATAAGTACAAATGGTAAAACGTGAATACAACATATATAGCTGTAAACAATTAGACATAATGTTTAGTTTCATTTATAAAATTTCAAACATTAAAATAATCATCGATATATTCGCATGGGTAAATCGTTACTACACAATTTATATTAATATATCATAGAAATGACTAACTATAAAATAAGTTACTATCATAAAACAATGAAAATATTTTTATGGTAGGAAAATCATTGTTAAACTGACGAATTTTTTCATATTTTCATTTTGTCATTTATATTTTTCGAAAAAACTCTTCAAAAACTGCGCAAATAATCGAGTTTTTAAGGCGTTTCTTCGAATTCGGATTTCTGTATTAATGAGTAGGTACCGAAGAGATTTATGCAAACACTCATATTTTTAGTGAATATTTGCTGGCGATGAATTACGCAGTGTATTGCTAACACCCTGGAACATTTTGATTTAAATGGGTGATAAATCGACAATAACGTCCAACCACATCAGGTACTCTATCTGTAGCAATGTATTTAATGAAGTGTTATTTCATAACTTGAAATATTGATTCGCTTCAGCGTAGATTGTAAAATCTATTGTAAAGGGCAGTTCTTGATTTCTTGATTCATAATCAAAAATATGTCAATTGTAATACTTCATGCCTAGGTAAAGTTGACTCACCCAGTTGTACAGAGAAATGTGTCCTTTGCAAATAATTTCACAATAAAGAAGCTTTTTAATATTCATTACTTCAAATCAATTTATCAATTCAAAGTGTTGGCTTAAGGAAATTTTTTAATGATATTAGATGAAGATTTGCGTAAAACGGTTTGTAAAACCTCTTCAACGGCTGGCAAAATTCACTTTTCTCCGATAGTATGCGGTTTTCCAGATTTTTCTATAGTTAGTGAGATATTGTAAGATACTCGCAAACCATAATTCAAATATTCATCTGATTGGGTGACATTTTCTCAGATGAACTTGCAGCATATTGATTTTATGAAGTGTGAAAACCTACTCATTTTCTTAAACTTTAATGAATTTTCAAAATTGAACTACTTGTTGTTAGGCCGTAATATTTCAGTAAGTTCTATAAGACCATGATATATAGTGCCAAAAAAAAGTTCTATAAAAATCGGCTTAAATTTTTTTTTCAACAGTTAATTACAAGAAAACGGCTCGGTAGATCACCTAAAACCAATCAGTATCATTCTCGACTAATATCTTTCGAACAGTTTTTGATGTTTCCAAATCGATTCGATAGTATGAGCTTAAATGTGGACTAAAAGTTTAACACTTTTTTCCAAACTACAAAGAAACGGCTCGGCCGATCGTCGCACAAAGCTGAGAAACGATAATCCGCATCTTATTACAAGAAAACGGCCCGGCGGATCTCTACCAAAAACACATCAGCACGATTTCCAACCAATATCTTGATTTGAATTTTCAAAATTTTCACTTTTCTGCTATTTATAAAGAAACTCCAATACTTCCAAAATCATGCATCAGTATAGTTTGTTCAGATTTTTTCGAAAAAGTTGAAATTAAATTATAACACGGATTATTAAAAATAAAACTAAAAATAAAACTACTGTGGATTAGACTAATAACTGATCATTATTGTATTTTTTTTTAAATTTATATTAACATATAGTTTTGAAGTCCACTATCGTGGGTCCCCATTTTCAATTCGTGAACCCCCAAACATTTTTTGGCTGACATGGATCCTTTGAAGTTTGTCATGTTTTCCAGGAGCCTGAAATATCACAGGCTAACGTAAGATAGTTTAATTATAAAAGTTTATTAAAATTTGTGCTCTTAAAATATACACCGTGCATGTCTTTAGCAATTTTCGTACAATTGAATCAAAACTTTGTTTTTGAAACAAATCCTGGAAAATTTTATCATCACACCTTTAAAAGTTGCTTAATTTTAATCTTAAAATCAACAGGGTTAATCATTCATTCAATTACAAAATAAGTTGATTAATCAGAGTTCATCGAAATTTTGGAATTATTTTGAAAAGCCTTTTCAAACTCCTTGAATCCCATTTATCTAGTAAAATTAAGCTTTTATATTAACATTTTATGTTATTTTTTATTCTCATTGATAATTTTTCATTTCAGATTTGGATAATACAGTGCCTGAAAGTAAATTATGGGAAGCGTTTGTTGTGTGTTGTGAAAAAGTTTACGAGCAAGATGATTTGGGTCCAGCTCAGAGTATTAGGAAATCTTTAAGTGCCGTGCTTTTGGCTTCGGCTAATTTAGCACAATTTTTAAGTGAAAATGAAGATGTCATACATGCCAGTGTGCCTACTGAACCGGTAATAAAATAAATAGTCTTATTGTAACTTTTAACTTGTATAATAAAAATGACAAATTAGAACAAGATTGATGTCATAACAGTTTCTAATATTATAAGTCCTGAAATAAGTTTATTATACTTTCATTTTCAGCCCACTCCTCCAATAGTTTTACGTTCCCAAATAATCAAGAAACAATTAGAAGAAACTAAAATGTTGACTGCAAAATTAGAGAATAAGGAAGCTGAGATTAGGGAATTGAAAAAAGCGGCTAAAGCGAGACAAGACGAATTATCAGAGATGCAAATTAGAAAAGATTTAGCTGAGAAGAAACTCGGAACCTTCAACAAAGACTCAGAGATACAAATCGAAAAGCTGCAGAAGAAATATGATGAGGCTGTATTAGAATTCCAAAAGTAAGATAGTTGATAGTCTGAATTGAATAAAAACTTTATTTAAAAAGTTTTTGCTATGTAACTTATATATTTTCAGGAAAGAAAAAGAATTTGAACAAACTCTAGACCATCTGCAAACGGATATTGATGCTTTGGAACAAGAAAAAGGTACATTGCGTGAGAAGGTCAAAGGTCTGGCAAAGGCAAAGGTCTTGATGTGATAAAGCAACGGTCTACACCAGGATCTCCTACATCAGGTACCTAATAACACTATTTGATGATGTTAAGGTGACCTAATAATAATTTTACTCCTCAAAATAATTTTATTTATAATTTATTATAGGAACTAATACAGAAGTATCTTCTCCCGTCGGATCAGTAGGTTCCTTGCAAGAAATTGTAGCTTTGCAAAATGCACTGAAGTGGAACGAAAAGAGCGTATAAATATTCAAACTGATCACGTTCGGAAAACTCTGCAAAGTTTGGACCCGATATACACAAGACCTACCAAAAATATTGCTGAGAATAACAGGGTGCATGAATTGACTAAGGAATTGATGAATGTTAAATACGTAAGTCAAAATATCTTATATTAGGTCATAATTGAAATATTTATTTTTTATTTGTTCTTTTATTAGGAATGGATTATGTCAATGGCAAAGAGTGCTTTGTGTACATTACCCGATGATCCAACAAAAAGGATGCATGCGCTTAGAAACTTTGAAAAACAACAAGCTTGCAAAGAGACGGATTTAAAGGTATTTAAATGTTTGAGTCTAATGTCGTAGATATATCATTACATTGTAGAAGATTTCATTTATATTGAATGCTTGATTTTAAGTTTACTAAAGCTAATAGAAAATATATGCATAACATATTCATAAAACCAAGTATATATATTCTTTTAAATTTTATTTTTCTTGAATACAATATAATTACTTTCTACGATTTCAGAATAAAATGATAATGTTATTCGACACTATTAAAGAAGAATCCATACAAATGCAGCCCTGGAGGTATACGCAGGCTCCATTGAACGCTTTTAAAAATGCTTAGTTTTTTATAATATAATCATATTATATAAATATATTAACTTAATTAAATTATTTAATACAAATGCTTAATAAATTTCAAAATATTTAATTTATATGGTTTGGTTTTTTGTAGATATTAATTATGAGATTATTATGCTGTGATTAAACTATTTATTAACTATATTGTCAAATTATAAAATACAGTGGTACCCCGACGTACGAGCTCATTTCGTTCCGTAACCGAAGCAATTTCTACATATAAATACATTGAAATATCATTAGGTAATTCGTTATATCACTGTGGTTTTTGCTACAGTTTGATATTGCAGAAATGAGTTAGATATGTTTCGACATTTATCCATAAACTCTTGCAGATTCAAAAGCTGCTTATAAATTATTGTGATGCGTTTAGCAAGAGTTATATCCTTTATCAATTCCTTGTGTTTCATTAGATATTCTATAGATGTATGTGATATGAGTACAACTGAAGAGTGACATTCTTACAACTGAAGAAATTTTTCATACTTTCATTTTTTCATTAACATTTTCGAAAAAACTTACTTGCTCAAAGCTCTTATCTGGAGTTTGCTTGTATGTCGAAGCAATGAATCGCTTCTTTGGCGGCTCGTATCTCGAAACAGTCGTATGTGACGTGAGGTCGCTACCGTAAGTCGGATTACCACTGTATTAATCTTTAACCATGACATAAAACATTTTTTTTACATAATGCTATAGATAATATTATTTAAAAAATAAATTAAATTTATTAACAAGAATTATTATTTTACTAATAATAAGAGGATTGGAAGAATTTTGAGTTTTATAAATTATTTCCATACTTCGAAATAAAAGACGCTCTGACTATATTCTTCTATTCTTATTTGGAACATATCGAAACCAACATTTTCCAGATGAATTTATGAAGAAAGACATTTTTTAGTACGCGAGCACTAAGTAACTATATATTTAGCATTCTATAATTTTCTTATTGTTAATTACAGATCTTATAATATACCTCTATAAATTAATAATTATATTATATTTGTTATATGTTGCCATAAGAATAGTAAGGTTCATTCCATGTTCATTTATCTCGAAAATTGTTTCTTTTAGCAATTGTAGTAGTACGCTAAAACTTTGAACATTTATCGGAAAATAGAAAATCTGCAATTTATTGTATTGTGATACTCGCACTTCTAGTTATTAACCTCCCGTAGGGTAAGTATAGTAATCAGAAGAAATAGAAAATGAAAATTTGGGTATATCTTCAAGTTTCAAGGGTTTCTCAATATTTTGGCATATTTCAGAAAAAAATGATATTTGTGTGTGCGGATACAATTTTGCGTCGACGATTTCGAGAGCATGGATCAACCGATTTGAATAATTTAAAAAACACTCGATTCCTATTAATGGAGAGAGGTGCTGATTAATTTTTGGAAAAAACAGGTCTAGCCTGTCTTATACTTAATTATATATCTATGTTTCTAGCTGTTTCGAAGATATGGGTAAAAAGTGCAAAAAATTGTATTTCAGTTTTTGAGAGAACGGAAGTCCGATATGAATGATTCAACAATCAGTAGATGGAATGAAGTGAGGCAGGTCCAGCGGTTTCGGAGATCCAATAAAAAAAACGTTGACGGTCAAAAATGATCATTAGACATGTACATATCAAATTTAATTTTCATCGGATATTTTTGTTATAAGTACAAATTTTGTTTACATTTTTATGAGTTCCGTGCCGAGATCGCCTAAAAAATATCAAAATTTTCGAAAAATTTCAAATTTATCAAAAAGTCTTCTTTTTCAAGTTTCTTAAAAAAAATCAAATTAGCAAATGTTTTTAAAAATTGAAAGAAAAAATTAAATATAAGAAAAATATAAAACTTTTAAAATACGTTACGAAAAGTTTCAGTATTTTGCCAAGGCACGATGCCATACACCACGTGTTTTTATTGCAAATATTTCTTGAATTTCATATGTATGGGGTTAGAATTATTGGTGAAGGAGATTGCGGAAAATGTAATATTTTAAGTGCGTGCATATCAAATAAAACTGACGTAAGTTAACAATTTTTTTATTTCCTGCTATAATAGTAAGTTTAAATGGATTGAAAGTAAATAATAAATTGATTGATTATTATTCTGAAATTACCACGTGCTTATGTCATGCATTACAAATTTTAGTTGTGCTAATAATAAGTAATATAAAGTTCAGTTACACACAAATTGTGTGACGCTATTCATGAAAAATGTGGGCTATAGTTTTAAAATTTAACATTCCAAGTTTGTAAAAGGTATAAAGAAGTTTTTGTTAAAATCTCATCTGTTATGAAGATGTTATTCAATAACTAATTCACTAATTTTTGGCGGTCAGAATTCTACCTGAAAACATTTCTATTCTACTTTGGCATCATTTATCCAATAAATTAAAAGCGGTTTGAAACCAAATGTGTAATTTAAACAATTAAATTGCAAATTGTTCTCCAAAACTCTTGTGTTATATTCATTTGTGTACAACTATTTGTTACTTGAATAAGGAAGTTAAATTTGAATCTCTTAATTGAACAAGAATTTGGTGCATTAACTAGGGTATAAAGACATTTTTTATTGTTTATTGTTACTTATGCCTAAATTTAAAAATAATCCCTGTTATTGTTATTTTCTTGTTTGCCTATGCGAAAGATAAATGTACAATTTATGTATGTTATTATTTATCATTCTATATAAATTTATCTCTGTCATCAAAAGGGTATTTCTATGATGGCCATAAAATCCAAACTATACAAACTCAAATTCATTTTATTCACCTATCATACATCAGAAATATAAAAAGGTACTCATATACACATTACTTAACATACAAACAATTTTCTTATAATAAATTAGTATTTTTTGCGTTTGAGTACTTCAGGTTTCCAAATAACCGGATGACTATCTTCAGTTGCAGTATCATCTTCTTTGTAGATTTTAATTGTTTTGTCAGCTTCTGTCGTTATCAACCTTGAACCAGATAGGTCAAATGTCATAGAAAATACACCTGCTTCATTTTCCATTGAACCTGGTTGTACAGCAGACTGGTGGGAAGAAAAAACACATGTACAAACCATTCTTATCTAAGATCTTAATAAATTGCTAAACCTTTTTATAATCAAATTTCAATAATACCTCAACATTTCTAAGCCTTATGTACTTTTGCGGAGCACTATGATGCAAATTATTAAGAATTCTAACTTTAGTTAATGTTTTACCTGCAGTCTCTGGAAATTATATCCAGTTTTCCAATCCCAGAAATGTACAGTACCATTATCACCACCAGATACAAGTACACCATCTTCATTAACAGCCATACAATTAATAATAGATGAATGTCCACTTAGGTTCTGCACAAATTTGCCATCAGGGCAACGCCATTCTTTTATATTATCTGGTGAGGCTGATGCAAACATATATCTGGAAAACAAGATCAAAATTATTGATTTACATCTAATGATATATAATATTTAGTTGAATTCATGTATGAATATACATAGTTTTCTTTAATGTAAATTATTTGGACAATAAATGTTATTTCATATAATTCTACTTACAATCTAGGATGAAAAACAAGACTTCTGATGCTCTTTTTGTGGTTCGTCAATGTGCAAATAGAATTTCCTGCAGCCAAATCCCATAATCTAATCGTTGCATCATGACTACCAGTTATAATTTGAGGTTCAGCATTCTGACATATCACAGATGCAATCGTGTTCGTATGACCTGGAAATATAAAGGTAAGTGGATTTTGTTGATAACAAAAATATGATAACAAAAATATGAAGCTTGAAAAAAAATGCTTTACCTGTGAAAGTGTGTATGTTAGCTTTGGTTCTCATATCCCAAACTCTAGCGGTTGAATCTCGTCCGGCTGTTACTAAAACATCTAAAGTAGGATGCAATGCTAATGTATACACAGCAGACAAGTGACCATGGTAATGCCTTATTACCTGAGATAAGAACAATATATTTAATGTTAGTTGTAACTGTAAAACTAATGTCTTTAGTACATATGTTCTATAATATTTATTCTACCTTGTTATACTCCAAATCCCAACATTTAACTTGCCTATCCTCTCCACAACTGAACAAATACGGATGTCTGGTACTCAAAGCAAGACCTCTCACTGTACTCACATGGCCAGTAAGTGATAAACGCAGTTTGCCACTGGCCAAGTCCCAAATTTTAATTACCCTGTCGGCTGAGCCAGTTGCAAACCATTCATTACCAGGTTCAACAGCCACACACCTGCAAAAATAAGAATTCAAATCAAATTTTGTTCAGTTGGCTTATAATCAATTTACATACCTGACCCATCCAAGATGCCCTGAAATCACCCGAGCTAATTTCCATGGTGGATGCCACTTAGGTTTCGGCATTGCAGGTTTTTTAACAGGAGTCACTATTGTATTATTTGATTGTTTATAAGACTGGTTTGTTTCAATTAATGCAGTACTTGGATTATTGTATGGCACCATTGCACTAGAAGCAGTAGCAGTATCTGCTGTGTCATCTAAAAAAGTAACAAATGATCATTTTATATATTTATTTACTATAAGGTTGTTCAGAAAGTCACATCGTTTTTTTACCACCAGAATTTAAATATATTTTTTTGAACCTAACAACACACTTAAACCCTATAATTTTTACATGATTTGAAAACTTATATTTTAAGGCTTGTGTGTAAAAAATTCTAATCAATTACATGCAGTAGTTTTTGAAAGGTGCCACTTTGAATACAGAAAGAATTAAGCAGCATTTTCGACATGTTTTACTCTTTTGCTATAGAAAACAGTAAAAATTCTGTTTAAGTTAAAATGAAATTGACCAATGTGTACGGAAATGATATGTTGATAGTGAGACAGTGGCAAAATTGTTTTACTAAATTTCATTTTTGGTATTTTGATATCCAAGATGCACCACGTCCAAGAAGTGCGGTTGAAGCTGATAAAGATGTGAGAAAGGCATTAGTTGATGCAAACCGGCGAATAACTATACTTGAGATCCCATTGAATTAAAATTTATCAAATTTAACAGTTCATGACCACTAAAAAAATCTGAAATTTATCTCAAAACTCAATGTATGGTTGGACTAACTGAATGAACTGAATGATATACTTCAATAAAAAAGGTCAGAATTGATCACAAACAAGGTATAGTCCTGCATGAAGAAGATGCAAGACCTCACATAAGTCTGGTTCAGAAAATTTATGCCAATAATTACCTTGATTGTTTCCTGTATGGGGTGGACTCTTGTTGCCATTTTGTGCTTTTTGTTGTTCTTTCAAGGCCTGCGCAGCTTTAACTTTATCAAACACTTGAATATAAGAATCTCTAGCCTTTACTGCTTTTTTGATCCTTAAACTGAAATAAGGACAGAAGAAGTATTAAACGGTATCTTGAATCAGAAACTAGTAATAAATGAAAGAAAGAGTTTTGATAATTTTCTAATGACAAAAAAGTAAATCTGTGTGTATTTATATACATAATTACACATTATCATAAATGTTTACAATAGTCACAAGATTCCAATAAATGAAAAAATACTGAGGTGTGAGTACATATACTAAAACATATTTTCTTCATGAATATAACTGCCCAAAAAGAAATTTCTGTGACGAATTAATTCGGGATTAAAACTTGACCTCAACTTAAATTTATATCAAAATAAATTGCACTAACTATGCAACGAACTTAAAACTATTCGAGAAACATTTTAATAAATTAAAATATAATGAATAAATAAGATAACCTACGATTTTTCGTCAATAGGTATCAATGAGAACTGGTTAGACATGAACAAGTCGTGAGATCTTTTTAAAGATCTGAACACCAATGTGTGCACTGAATGTTTTTGAACGTCTTCCAACATTTTGTTTATTTATTATGATCGATTAAATGAAAATATAAAGCTCATACTGTAAAGACAAGTTATTTTATCACATTTTTTGTCAAAATTGTTTTCATACTGACAACAAGACATAGATAAGTAAATGGATTGGATGGACAAGTGCATCGTTCAGTTTCTAATTGAAATATATAGATGGCGCCATGATGGCGCTTTCAAAATCGAATTTATTATTACTCTAATTTAAAATAAAGTATTGAAACCCTTTTATTTGATAACTAAATAAGTATTTGTGTTTTCTAAACTACATAAATTTATAGTGGATGTTCTATGCTAATGGTGTTAATACTTGATAGATTACCTATTTATAGAATAAATAGATGTCTCTATTTATTCCAAATTTCTATTCGATTTATTGAAGAAAAGTTGTATTAATCTAATTTTCTTCCACGATAGTTTTTAGATTAGGACTTTTGGCAGTTTTTTAATTTTAATTTTTGTAATGTGGATTTGAAAAATACATACAAATCTTTTCTTTTCAAAATACTATTTATTTTTACCAAGGGTTGTCTACCCCTAACATTTTTTTCTATTTTTGGGACTAATTTTTTTTTGTTAACTTCACGTAGGGTATTTATAGTAACGGGCCAAAAATAAAAAAATGAAAATGTTTGCATATCTTCACGTTTTGAAGGTTTCTGAACATTTTGGAATACCTCAGAAAAGTGTTTTGTATGTCCGCATTTTTTCGTTTACGTTTTCGGGCGCACCGATCAACCGATTTGAATGATTCAAAAAACATTCGATTCCTATTGATGGGGAGATGTGCTGATTAGTTTTTGGCAAAGAGCTCTGTAGATTCAGCCGTTGCTAAGATACAGAGCAAAGAGTGCCAAAAATAGAAATTGAGTTTTTGAGAGAACTAAGCATCCGATTTGAATGATTCAAATTTCCGATTCGAATGATTTCTGCTTGTGTTGACGAAACAATTGCTTTGGGAATGAGTTTTTTTTTAAATTTTTTTTCAAAGTTGTTAAAGTTCTAAAGCTTACTTATATACTTTAAATAAATAATTTTAACTTTGCAATTCAGTTTATATGATTCTTATAAATATTAGACAATGTTACAGTATTTATTTATAAAAATCTATTTAAAAACATTCAATATTCCTCGAACATTTCGTTACGGTACCGGAAGTTCCAGCAATTTGCCTTAAGGCACGATGCCATACACCACTAGTTTTAATTTTCTATAATTCAAAATTGTAAAATACATGGAACTCTTTTCACTTAAAAAAACTATTTAATTTTATCAAGAGTTTTCCACCTATTCAGTACTTAAATTTTAGAATGCATACAACTCTAAATTTTCACCCTCCTTCCACAAATCTCTACTCCATAATAGCCATTATGGTAGTAAACGAATAATTTTTCACCACGCTCTCAGTCAGTGATTTTTTCAACGAAGATCTATATTTTCCTTATGGTAAAAGCATGAATTTTATTCAATATAGTTTTTGAAATAATTCAATAAAAATAAAATTCTGCGAAATAGTAAAATATTTTAAAAAAATATCTTTATTTCGATTTTTTGGTGTGAGAACTCGATATGTAAATAAATTTATTTCTTAGAAATTAGCAACAAGATTTTTTAGCTACTGTCATAATGTAGAGGAGACTAGGTACGGTTGTATTAATGTTTTTTGATCAGCAATAATTTTGTTAATTTAGTAGTTAGCTGGAAGCAAAGTGAATTAAATGGTAATTTGAACACGTGGAAATATTAAAAAACTATCCGTACATTCGATAGATTAGTCATAAAATAAAATCATACAAGAGAAGGACGAGTGTTACAACCGTCCATACCCGAAGTATGGACGGTTCTAATCACCAAAATGAAATATAACGAATTTTATTGTCGTTAATAATAATAATATACAACATAAAATAAACATTTAAACAAATTTTATGAATAAAATATAACAATGTATAACAAAACATATTTTTTTAAACGAAGTTAAAAAGAATTCTTCGTGAAATCTTTAATTTTTTTATATTGAATTTTCCTTTTCCTTCTTTCTTTTTTCTTACTTATATTGAATTTTTGTATTTTGTCTTAAGTTAATTTTTTTTATCTGTTTAATCTTCATCCAACAAGGACAAGAAATACATGTACTGTACCCAACGCATACTTTTAAAAACAAATCATAGTTGACTGAGCTAAATTACCTAAGCAAAAACTAATTGCTGGTGAATTACTATTAATGTTTAACTTACAGCAAAATAACAAACGGAGTGGTCTATCTGTATACAAATAACACTTACGATTAAAAGAATTCGACTCTATAAAAGCAATGCGGTCTACATATCATGATAATGTATATAACCAATAATGGGAACTTGTTAAAACAATTATACTTCAGTTTTCTTCCTTTGGACCCTACCTCATAGCATCTATTTTTTAGCTGTTAAGGCGACTGTCACTGCCGTACCTGGCACAAGCGTATCCAGTTTCCCCTACCAAGATTTATTAATAATTACATTATAAATAAAAAAAATTGTTTATATTTTCCACATGTACATCACAATTTTTGACAAAAATCAATCCAACTAAATGGTTGATTAACAATTTAGGTTATTATTATCTTCTGTGATTTCTAAATCTTTCAATATCCTTCTTGAATTTATTAATTATGTTATCATCCATATCTTGCACATATACCCCGAATGCACTATGGGGCATTTTATCTTGGGAGTCTTTGTTAGACTCGTTGACGTCCAGGGACCAAAGGAGACGGAATTTTAGGCTCTGGGCGATTATGGTGCTAGCGGGACACGCACAGTCTAACCTGGAGATAGAAAAATATATTATATCAGAAAGATTTTGTATTGAAACTTGTAAAGGAAATTTTAGTGTGTAAAATTGTTGTACCTTCCATAATAATGCCCGAGTTCTTTTCCTAAAACCATCAAGTGTTTTGTCAAAATTTTTCCAATTCTGTGATTGTTAATAATTCCGTCATTTAAAAAGATATTGATATCCCACATGGGCTTATCAATAGCCTCGGGAATATTCGCCAAATGTTTCATATAAGACAAAAACCTTAAGAACGACATAACTTCATGATCTTTTGTCAAGTTAGATAACTTGTAGGTAAGATCATTTTCTACTATCCCAAATGTGGATCCTATTCCTATAGCCAGGACTGACCGATCCTGGTCAGAAGAGATAGCCATCATGCCACCGCCCTCCTTGATTTTCTGCATAACGATCATTTCCAAACTTTCCGCCGATCCGGAAATGCTCATGGCTCTTCCCACTGGATCATCTTTGAAAGTGTTTTCACGCAAATACTGACCAATCATGTGGGATTCACCTTGGGTAATTGGAAGGATTTCAAAACTGCTCACCTGTAAAAGGTAATTGAACAGACTAATGAATCTTAAAGTGGACGCCGCATAAGATTAAATCGAATCATACGGCGTGGAAATTTTATTTTAGCTAACAATCAGGTATTTGAATATGTATTTTACAATTTTCTAAAAAGTTTAAAATTCAGAAAAACTTAGATTTTCAGAAAAAATTACATATTAAACTTTGAATATCATACCAGGGATTTTATCTAATAGTTCAATTTTTAAACTGACATACGTCTTTACATACTTTTTTCTGGATACTACTTGAGAATTTTCTGCATGTGTGGATATAATAGTGGACACAGAATAATATGCAGATAGATTTTGTTGGATAATGACATTTTTGTAGAATTTGAGAAAAATTAATCATTGTTAATAAATTCCATTAAAATATAATTTAAAAGTATATTAAATAAAATGTGTGTGTTAAACAAATTAATATACTAAATTTAGAATTTATGGAGTAACTGTCAGTATTTTTTTTTGTTTTTATTTTTTGTCTATGGGTTAGTTTTTAAATATTTAGACCATATCTGGACAATGGTCTACCAAGCGGTTGAAAAATTTCTCTACGCATTAAAAGTGCACAATGTTTATCGGTATTTGGTAAAAGCAGTTTACCCAATTTCCAACGAAAAAATCATCATTTGACACATAGAAAACAATTTTTTTGTATACATTTTAGTTAGGCACATATTTTCTTAATAAATTGTGGGAACATACAATTACATTAGCATTTTCAGAATTCCTAAAGAAAACTATAAACTTACTCTAAGTTAACATTTGAATTATTTGTGTAGAATTTTAAATTTAGTCTACGAAATTCAACATTAATTTTTATAATTGATCATAATTTTCTGAATATTCATATTCAAAATTTTCGAAATTCAACTAGTTTTTGACATTGGTAAAATAAAGATGGTATAGAATGAGCAGTTCTGGTCTGTGAATTTAGTTGAACAACCAATAAGCAGCCATGCAAATTTAATATGATTTTTTATTTGTTTCATCATATTTATCATAGCGACCTATACAGTAAGTACACGAGGCTACAATTGTAGGCAATTTCAAGAAATGTGAAGGATAACTATTCTATGATAGCTCCTTTTATTATTATTGCTTTAAATTTTTAATTACTGTCATGTAGTAGTTTACTACAATTTTTTTAGTGGCTTAGGTGGCAAACGAGCAGGTCAATCGCTAGTTGATTGGATGCTGACTGTATCTGGTGCAGAACTGGTTAATCTCTTCTTAGATAGTATATGCAGTTTTTTTACTACGATATGTGCTTACTTATTATTTTGGTAAAATGCAATAGCAATCTAAGATTTTCATTCCGTGACAATCATGTCTGGTTCGTTTGTTTATCTAGTGGATTCTAAACATCCAAAAAACAAAAGGCGATGAGTTGCATTTCCTCATAAAATTAAACATCGTTATAAAACCACCATCTAAATTTTAAGTCAAAATTTGTAAAAAAAATTCAACAAAATGTTTAAAATAATTTATCCCATTAAACAAACTTCGGCGGTGTGTTCAAAAAAATGCACATGATGCGACACGAGTGGAATGCGCCGGTCAGAACAACGCATCCATATGAAGCAAACCCGGACTCGACAGTGAGTAAATAATTCAATTTATTATTAAATATTTTAATTGATAGATTTTAAGTAGTGGTTTG